GCAAATCACTATGATAATTCTAGTTCATAAGATTTAGATTGCATAAAGTACCTTCAACACAATAAACTAGGTGGCGTTTGCAGAGGCATCCACAAAATTGAGCGGAATCATCAAGGGTTCATATTATATTGTTTTTGTCATACTGCAGTAAAGTTTTTAATGCATGCGTTGCGGGTCTAAAGTAGCATTTTTACTCTTTAGGGAGTAAAACTCGTTTTTAGCCTCTATGGAGTAAAAACCAGCTGTCACTAATGTAAATTTCTATTGTAAACGATTGCATGTATCGAAAATATGTATCGATTCGTGCTTCGTAATCATTTGACCTACAGTCTACAGTCTCTTCCCATAGCATTTTAGGACTGCAGATACATTAATGTAATTGCCAAAGACAGTTCCCACACTCTGAACTGCTAGCCTTACTACTTCCTTAACCATTTCCTACGTCATAGACCTGTTTCCTTCCCTTCTCATTTAAGTATTACAGATACATTTATCTAACTGCACAAACGGTTTCCCCACTCTGCACTGCCAGCCTTTACTACTTCCTTCACCACTTCCTACGTCGTGGGACCTGTTTCCTTCCCTTCTCATAGCATTTTAGGATTGAAGATACATTAATCTAACTGCCACAGACGGTTCTCACACTATGCTCATACATTACTACTTCCTAAGCCACTTCCTACGTCGTGGACCTGTTGTCATCACTTTCCATAGCATTTTAGTATTTTAGATACGTTAATCTAATTGCCACAAACATTTCCCACTACAATCCGCACTGCTAGCCTTTACTCCTTCTTTCACCATTTCCTTGTCTTGGGCATGCTTCCATCCCTTTTCACAGCATTTCAATATTGCAGATACATTAATCTACCTGCCACAAACGATTTCCAGTTCCAACACTCCACACTGCTAACCTTACTACTTCCTTCACCTCTTCCTACGTCGCAGACCTGTTTCCCTCTCTTCCCATAGCATTTTAAGATTGTAGATACCTTAATCTAACCGTCATAAACAGTTCCCACACTCCGGGAGACTGCTCGCCTTGACTACTCCCTTCACCTCTTCCTACTTCTCGGACCTGTTTTCCTCCCTTCCCATAGCATTTTAGGATTGCAGATACCTTAATCTAGTCGTCATAAAAAGTTCCCACACTCCGGACTGCTAGCCTTTACTACTTCCTTCACCACTTCCTACGTCACGGACCTGTTTCCCTCCCTTCCCATAACATTTTAGGATTGCAGATACCTTCATCTAATCGTCATAAAAAGTTCCCACACTCCGGACTGCTTGCCTTTACTACTTCCTTCACCACTTCCTACGTCATGGACCTGTTTCCCTCCCTTCCCTTAGCATTATTAGATTGCAAATACAGTAGAGTCCCGAAAACTCGGCACTGGAAAACCCGGCAGTCTGGATAGCTCGGCCATCACCTGGCTCAGAAAATTAGTGATTTTTTTGAGTCCGAGTTAAACATGGACACAAGCTAGCTCAAGTATAATCATTTGCAACTCGTACTAAGGATTTGTTGTACTATATCTGATGACTTAATACTGACTAAATCTTATTGAAAAAGGCGGTTAAAAAGCTTAAAAATTGTATTGCTCTTATTTTGAACTCTAGTTCCCGATAACCCGGCATTTCACAAACACAGCACCCTTCCGGTCCACATTAAGCTGAGTTTGCGGGACTCTACTGTACCTTAATCCATTGGTCATAAACAGATCCCACACTCCGAACAACTCGCCTTTACTACTTCCTTCACCACTTCCTACGTCACGGACCTGTTTCCCTCCCTTTCCACAGCATTTTAGGATTGCAGATACCTTAATCTAATCGTCACAAACAGTTCCCACAGTCCGGACTGCTTGCCTATACTACTTCTTTCACCACTTCCTACGTCACGGACCTGTTTCCCTCCCTTCCCATCATAGGATTGCAAATACCTTAATCTCATAGTCATAAACAGATTCCACACCCCGAACAGCTCGCCTTCACTACTTCCTACGTCGCGGACCTGTTTCCTTCCCTTCCAATAGCATTTTAGGATTGCAGATACCTTAATATAATCGTCATAAACAGTTCCCACACTCCAGACAGCTCGCCTTGACTACTTCCTTCACCACTTCCTACGTCGCGGATCTGTTTTCCTCCCTTCCCATAGAATTTTTGGAATCCAGATACCTTAATCTAATCGTCATAAACAAATTCCACACTCCAGACTGCTCACCTTTACTACTTCCTTCACCACTTCCTACGTCACGGATCTCAAGCTATTGTCGTCATTTGATTATATTTATGATCCATACCGTATATGTTCTAATATCTGTGGAATAATGCTATCAGCTATGTCTTTATCTACTGCATTCAAAAGTCAACAGCTGATCATATGTGTTTATTTATGTGTCAAATACTGCTTCCAAAAGGATTACATTGAAACTTTGAGACCCAGCGGGGCGGATTCCTGAGAGACTTTTTTAACGCCATATAGATGTTAGCACTCACCGATATGGTCTTTATCACCATGCAAAATTTGAAAACAATTGATTCAGCCGTCTAGGAGTAGTTTGCGTATTACGAAATGCATAAGAGTCGACGTATAAGAGCTTCGCTCGCTCCGCTAATAAGATATAGGAAACAAAAAACATTTAAAACTTAACAGCCACATCTAACAATATAAGACAAGATACAGAACATGCAATGACATAATTTAAGACCGAGTAGGCTTGCATAACGGGAAAAAATTATGCAAACAACAACTACTACGCTTGTGGTTTCATCAATAGAAAGATAAAATATCCATACAAAATATCTTAACTTATAAAATAAGAATGGCAAATTGAATATTCACGAAAATACTGACTGAGTTAGAGATAAAATTTACAGTCATCATAAAACTATTATCTAAATATATAAAAGGCAAAGCCCTCACTGACACACTCACTCACTCACTCACTCATCACTAATTCTCCCACTTCCCATTTACCTAGGAGGCTGAAATTTGGTACATCGATTCTTTAGGCATTAAATAGGAAAACTAAGTTGTTTTTATTCTGATCGGACTCTCGGGCTCCACCCCAGTGGCTCTGGAGTTTCCCATGTTAACCTTATGATTTTTCATATTTAAAGGGAATTAAAGAATGTTATTAGCTGTTTCAATTAAACAAGTTGGTTCTGTTCTATGATGTTCAATAGCTTTAAAGTTACAAGGATGGCCAACAGGGTGCAGCACTATTATTATTTTTTTTTATTTATAACAACAGCTAATTTGCAACCAAAAGGTGAGTGAGCGTAGCGAACGAACTTCAACCTGGAGGCGAGTTAGCGTAGCGAACAAGCTAACCTGAAGGCAAGTGAGTGCAGCAAACGAGCTCCAACCTAAAGGTGAGTGAGCGTAGCGAACGCACTTCAACCAGGACGTGATTGAGCCATGCGAACGAGCTCATCTTGAAAATTAAGAAGTCAAACGGGGCAAAGCCCGCGGGTACAGCTAGTTTCTATGATAAAATAGAATTGGGGAAAGTCGTATAGGAATAAAAGTGATAAAACTCAACAGTTCTTGGAAGTACTTCAATAGAACAATTATTGTCGTGATAAAATGTTAATAGATTTGGGACTGCTAATGGGTTTTTATTGCATCACCCTAGTAATAAATTATGAAGATCGTAAACAAACATCTGATAATACTTTTATGTGCTCAGAACCAACTGTTGACTGTACCAAACCGATGACGGTAATTAAGCTTGTACTGTACCGATACCGACTTTTTCAGTGCACCGCAGACCCCTAGAAGGAATACAAGTCAAATGTGTTTTAAAATACTTTCCCACAGAAAACGCTTAACACTTGGTAATAAACAATTTTTTATACCTTTGTTTTTCACCCTGAAATGAAGTCTTTATGACAGGCCAAGGTATCAGCTTGAAACAATGGGTACAAACACGAAGCACCACTAAAAAAGCTAAGTGAAATACCTGAGGGAAAAGTACTGGAAAAAAGGCAAAGTATAATGAGGAAAATGTCCAGAACTTTTGCCAGCGGCTTGTACTGAGTACCTTTCCCCACCCTCAAAGCACCTTGCACCCCTACTTAAGGTACATCCTTGGGAAACTCAAGTTTGTACCAAGTGCCGTAGGCACCACCAGCAGGTTGGCATGCTTACCCCCAGTATCCGTTTTAAGTCCCCGGGAATCAAATAAACTGTCTCCCGATACCATAAATCCACTGGGAGGATATGTGGAGGCCCCTTCCACTACTACAGAAGAGAGCCCTCTGTTACCAAGAGTCAGTCTAAATCTGGCACAGAGATTGGCTGCATTGTGAGGTTGGAGAAGCTGCTGCTTATGGGACATTCTGATTGAGCTTTCCAGCAGTTTCCATGACAGGAGCAATAGAGAACTGCTACTCATTATTGGTTAATGGTTTGAAAACATTAAATCATTTGCTGCAATTTATATATTCAATTAATTTCTTGAGTAACATGATAAACTGAGAGCAGCTGTGTTAGGCTTGCATCGTTATATACAAAGTGTCGTCAGCACACTGTTCATTCTTGTTCAGGACAATATTGAATATTGATACTTGTAGAATTGATACTCAAGTAAATGTTCAAATATTTACTCTATTCAAATCAAGTAACAACTTCCCACTGTAGTGATGTGACCAGAGACTTAAAATGTTAAATATGATTAATTAGTTGTCACCTAACTACCAGCTGACAGATGTTTTAAATAATTTTACTATTTATGGTTACTAGGTAGAGACAAACAAAAACAAGGATCAAATATTTTAGACTTTCCAACAAGAAGTGGTTTAATTGATTTGTACTGAACAATTGATTGTTACCGGTACTTAAAAAGTATGTTGAATTAAAGCAATCATATTTGGTGGAAAATCTTTAGACTTTCATTTCAGGTATTTCTCCTGATATAAATTAAATCTGATTTTAATATGAGGTTCTTTCCACCAAACCACCATTTACTACCATTTTATTTACAACTTACTTTTTTGTCAAAGTCTTCTTGCAGATTGCGCTTACCCTCTGCCACTTTAGACTCTATGGCCACTTCTAACAACTGAGAATCGTCTTTTGAACTGATGGCTTCTTTTAGTCTCCGTTCTACTGTGGCCTACAAACAATAGTTATTTAAGGTAAAAAAAATGCAACATTCTGTGTTTGTTCAAAGTAGTACGTTGAAGAACCTAACTCAAGAATAGTTGTTATTCACAACTTTAATAGGCCCTAGTATCTATATAACTAATACAAACTTTGTACAAGCAAATAAGGCCTACCGCACACGAGAGACTTTTTGTTGGCCGACTGTCTGGCTGGAGTCAGGTAAACAATCGAAAAGTCGCCAAGACTGTTCGGTCGTTGACTTTGGGTGCGCACACGTCACGACTGTTTAGTCGTCTATCGAGTGTCAAAGGATAGCTGTGACAGAAACCGCGCTACTGGCAACGCTACAGCGAACCGTTATATCTCCCAGCCAGATGATAAGACCGACAACAATGCCGTCGCAAATTCCTGGAAATGATTCCATTCTACTACACAAAGTACTAAGGGGGAAAGAGCTGGTCTAGTGATTAGAGCGTGTGACTTCGGGACCTCGGGTTCAAATCCTGTCAAATCACCAATGGATTTTATCCATGTGATAATATCGCAACCCCTAGGTCTAGCCTGAAGTAATGTGAAAAACAATTCCAGGCTCGTGCCTAGCGTCCTAGGACAAAAAAAAAACTACACAAAGTACTCTGACATTGAAAAACTAAGTTTTGTACACTTGTTCATATTAACAAGTTTTTGAGTTGTGAGCACGTAACAGATTTTGATACATTTGAATTACAACAGTTGTTTATAATTTCCATCATAAAAACAGAACATAGTAAAGCATGAAGTTTTGGACTTTCTTGCATAATGGATTTAATGTAAATTGCTTTGTAAATAGTGTTTGATAATAAACCACGTTATTAATCATAGCACATGAGACAGTACATGAGATCATAGCTTCATTCGCCTTTTCCTTTGTTTGCAGTTGTCCACCAAGGCTTCACATACTTCTTCCCATAACATTTTCTTTAATATAATATCCGAACTATTATCAAAGATTTTTTATAAAGAGGGGACCGTGCCTCCACTTCATCGATAAGTTTATCTACCTTCTCATCTCTCAAAACACTTGCACTTGTCGTTGTCGAAGCCATAATGCACTTGATAACAACGCACTTGACCGTCTGCGACCTGCATAGCGCACACACAACATTTAAGCACGGGTCACACTAGGCTGTTTGCCAGCCGCTGGTGATCAGCAGCTGGTACCAGCATCACCGGCTCACCAATCCAGGCTGAGTCAGCTCAGTGTCAGCTGCGAATTTTGTGGTCACATTAAGCTGACAGTCGCGGCTTCTTTCAATTCGCCGCTGATGCCAGCCTAGTGTGACCCGTGCTTTAGACTGACAGACTTTTTAGTCGTCAGTGTGCGCGTTCAAACTTATCTCCATACCTTTATGAATACGACACGACAGTTGAGTCGGTGGGAAAATTGGTCAGCACCAAACTGCCCCGACTGTCTGCAGACAGTCTGCCGACTGTGTTGCTGCGGTCGGCCCTTGTGCGCGTTTAGATTTGTCACTATGGGGCCGACTTTTACTCCCGACTACGACTAAATAGTCGGCCTACAAAAAGTCTCTCGTGTGCGGTAGGCCTAATACTTAATACAAACTAATAATAACACAAAATTTGTCATTTGAACTCTTCTGCCATTCTTAAACAACTAAAAAAAATTCATATCTCGAATAATAATTCATAACCCGAGGTTACCACACACACTGCTGACCATGTAAGAAGTCACCGCTGCCGGCGTTTGGACACCTGCCGGTGTTTGGACCTTACTGCTGATCCCCGCCCCGCCACATCGCAGCTTCTCGTCTATGGGAGCATACTGTAATTATCCTACAGCTTATGCCAGGTGGTGTTGTTCCATTTTATTAACGCCATTAGACTCAGTTATAAAACGAATTAAATTTATATTCCATTTTTTCTACATTCCCTTCTACTCGTCCAACTGTCATAGTGTGTGGGACATCCTCGGTCCAGCCTCAATTGTTACATTATCTAATGTCAGCCTTCTTAACACCAATCTATTAATTATTATGTGTCAGCATTTTCTTTTGTAACCTAGCCTACTGTAATTATATTTGCTACTCGCCTAGCCTAGTTAGAATTTATTTCAGTTCTCTTGACCTGCCTAGTGGGCACGATTGGTTATTCTTTGTCCCTAAATTTTATAGATTCGGCCTTTCTTTCTAAATTTGCCCCAAGTGCTTAAGTTAGGTTCTGTTTTAAATTTCCAAATATTTAATTTGAAATCTTGTCTTATTTGACTTTGTAGTTACCGAGTCATGACTTACTCCTGATCGTTTATCGTTCAACAAAATTAATTGATTTGTATACGACTGTTTAAGGTGAATTATTCACCCACTTTGTACGCCTAAACTTTTTGTCTATTTGTCTATTTGTCTATCTATTTGTCAGTGTACTTAAACTTGTTAATTTTGTTACCAACAAATATTGAGTAGGCTACTGCTAAAGGTTTGTAATTGTACTTGTAAATATTTTTGACTTAAATTAAATTGTATTTTGTTATTTTGTGTTGTTTAATTACCTCCAGAGCTTTGTGACTGCTTATGACGGTTGTGCAACCATGGGTCGAACCTGGTTAGGTTAGGTGAAGGGTCTAAGGTGTTTCATATTACCCAATTTTCCCTGATCTCTGCCATTCTGTGTTCAACTTTGGATAAAAGGGATTTATGTGAAACTAGCAGCTATACCCGTGCCTTGCAACAGGGTCAGTATGCAAAAGAGACAATGTTGGTTCTTTGAAAATGGCATAAAAACAGTTTGTCACCTACCATTTAATTTAGAAACCTAATTGAACTGTATTAATTAACTTGATTATAGTATGTTTTTGTTAACTCAGACTGTGAACAATTTTAGGCTACCTGAGATACAAAACCAATGGTAGATTTAAGGAATAATCAAATAACAAGTTGAATGGTTTTTAATGTAAACAAAAAGCTATCACAATAGTTCCAACCCGAAAAATAAAAAGAAATAGGAGTACAAACTGAGAACCGAGAACCGATTTTGGTTTTCGGTACTGGTATCGACATTGAAAAAGTGGTAGTGGTACTGACTCATCACTAGGGAAATTTGAATTCTGGGTGTGATTCCTAAAAAGAAGATTCATGAAATTGGAAACCATAATATCTAATATCAAACAAAACCCTAATCTGATACAATGTTAGAAAGTAAGTTTACCTCATGCTTCTTTATCTCCTTCTGGTAGTAGAGCAGCTTGTGGAAGGAATAGTAAATGAAGAGGTCTATCTCGTCATCAGTCAGCTTGTCATGTCTCCCAGGTCTCAAGTTAGGGAATAACGTCATCAACTCATCCTAAACAACAATATAAGTAAAAGTGTTTATGTTGAAACTAAAAATCACAACTCTTTTGGTAACAGCTTCCAATCATTATTGCAATTCACAGAACAATATGTCAACCGAAAATTGACCAACACAAAACCTTAACTAACTCAACTGACAAATACAGCCAAAACCTTTGACTGAGGTATAGAGCCATGCCGTAGCCCATAGCCATGACAATACTGTTGAGGTTGTACTGCCTTCAATCATGTTATTATTGTTTGTTTACTAATGTGTGTTGTTGTTAGTGTGTCAAGAGAAATATTGTTTACTAGCAACAGTGCCCGTTGTGGTTAAATACAACGGTCTCTAGTAAAGTAATGGTTATGAAATCCATACACCACTTTACTCACTAATATTAATGGTACAGTTTAAGCACATAACATTAGAATCACACATTTAACATAAGGAACACACTTTAAACATAAATGCAAATTGTTAACAACAACATTTAATAAAAGAAAAATTAATTAGATAACAATATAACAATAAGCTGTTGAATTATTAACACATGTTTCGTATGATTAGATTATGCATACTGGTAAACCAATTATTGCCATCTATAAAAATAATTAATTTTTCTTTTCCGAGTCGGGTTAGCTCTTCTACTTGACCGATTTTCATAATTTTGGCCTTAAACTAAAGATATGGACGTACCGCAGATTTGCCATCAAGCATCGGCATTCATTTTGACGTATATTTCGACTTATGCACAAACTACCTCCCTGTACATTTCTTATGGGTGTTAAATTTGTTTTTTTCCGAGTTCAATGTTTCGCAGGCGGGCGATGGTTTACAGGAGGGCTCTTCTACCTGCCCGATTTTCATAATTTTGGTCTTAAAATAAAGCTATGCAAGCACATATATGTCATCAAGCATCATCATTAATTTATCTAATGTATCACTCGACGAAAGAATCTTTTTCTCTTCAATTAAAGATGTATTCCAGCAGTTCTATTTACATTATACATTTTGGTCTAAAAACCTGAAATGAAATACCAGCTTTCATTTGAGCTATTGATTGTTAAGATCGGACTACCTAAAGCACACTGCTGAATCACGAATCAACAATAAATACAATCGTTTTAGTACCTATATGCAATCAATGATACGTAACTCTATTTTTATTTAAGTTATTTTATATGTCTTGGTCTTAAAATACTTCAAAGGCTTTCACTTGAGATATTGATAGTTTTAATCAGTTAAGTTCAAGATACTGTATCGCTCAATCAGAAAATATAAATTTGATTATATCTTGGATATGGAATTTAGTTTTAGATACATTTACTTAATTCTAATTACGTTATTCTATTTGTTTTGACCTAAGAACCCTCATTGAAATACCAGCTTCCATTTCATTAAAGCACGCAGCTAAGTCACGACCAACACAAATTGTTAAAAAAATGGAGTTATATTTATCATCGATTTATAGCCAAACGATCTTGCTTGCAACCTCAACAGTACTTTCATAATTATTTGCAAATCTTCACAAATTAGGCTATCCAATGACCTATTAATTAATAAAATCGGTTCAGTAGAACTGTAGATTTAATTGTACAAAGTTTAACAACAACATCTTGAATTCAGTATTTTCTCACTACTATAAACCTGGAGGCTGCTTAACGTTTTTGCAAATAACTTTGAAACGGCGAGGAAATCGACCAAAGTGGAAGGTGATATTCTGAAAGAGAATAAAATTTCCTACAAATTACTATTATGAATTTCTTGAATATGCTCAATAAAGGCAGCCTAAAGGTGGCTACAAATATAAAATTGAAAATATATACCTGGAATAAAAGGAGTTTTAAATGAATAATTTTTTATTTTTTATTTTTTTACCTTAAATATCTAATAAAATCGACCTTTCATAATTATTTGCAAATCTTCACAAATTAGGCTATCCAATGACCTATTAATTAATAAAATCGGTTCAGTAGAACTGTAGATTTAATTGTACAAAGTTTAACAACAACATCTTTAATTCAGTATTTTCTCACTACTATAAACCTGGAGGCTGCTTAACGTTTTTGCAAATAACTTTGAAACGGCGAGGAAATCGACCAAAGTGGAAGGTGATATTCTGAAAGAGAATAAAATTTCCTACAAATTACTATTATGAATTTCTTGAATATGCTCAATAAAGGCAGCCTAAAGGTGGCTACAAATATAAAATTGAAAATATATACCTGGAATAAAAGGAGTTTTAAATGAATAATTTTTTATTTTTTATTTGTTTACCTTAAATATCTAATAAAATCGACCTTTCATAATTATTTGCAAATCTACACAAATTAGGCTTTCCAACGACACATTAAGTAACAAAATCGGTCCGGTAGAAGTCTAGATTTAGTTGTACAAAGTTTAACAAAAATATATCTAATTCAGTATTTTCTCACCACTATAAATTTGGAGATCACTTAGATTATTGCCAATATCTTTTAAATGGAGGGGAAATCGACCAAAGTGAATGTGATATTCTAAAAGAGAATAAAATTTACTACAAATAACTACTATGCAATTCTTGAAAATACTTAATAAAGGCAGCCAAAAGCTGGCTACAAATAGAATCTTGAAAACAGAAACTTGAAAAACCCAGTTTTTAATGTATTTTTGTTATTTTTGATTTTTCGCCACAAATATTTAATAAAATCACGATTTTATAATTATTTGCAAATCTACATGGGTTAGGATTTCTAATGACCCATTAATTAACAAAATCGGTCCAGTAGAAGTCTAGATTTAGTTGTACAAAGTTTAACCAAAATTTCCCTAACTCAATATTTTCTCATTACTATAAATTCGGAGGTTGCTTAGCTTTTTTGCAAATAACTTTTAAATGGTGAGGAAATCGACCAAAGTGGAAGGTGATATTCTGAAAGAGAATAAAATTGCCTACAAATTGATATTATGCACTTCTTGGAAATATAAAAAAAATGGCAGCTAAAAGTCGCGCCCAAATAAAAAGTGTGAAAAACACCGTTTTCAATGTATTTCTTATGGAAAACACGTTTTCTTTAATTTATCACCATAAATCATAACAAAAACAAACTTTCATAATTATTTGCAAATCTACACCACTTAAGCTTTCCAACGACCCATTAATTAATAAAATCGGTCGAGTAGAAGTCAAGATTTAGTTGTACAAAGATTTTTAAAACTGAATTATATATAGAATAGATGGTGTTTAAAGAATGTTAATCTTTTCTAAACAATAAGAAGTAATACAGTATTAGGAGTAGTTTTGTTCAAGGAAAGGTGTGGAAAAAAGGTGGTAGCAGCTAACTTGCATAAGAAGAAGTACAGGACAAAACCTTTAGACATTCCACCCCCACGTTAAATTTCTAGCCAGTTTTTTAACCAAAATCGTGTTAGTTGATGTTAGAGGTGTGCGGATAGTGAAATTTCATTTCGGATCGGATTCGGATCTGATAGTTGAGGCTCGGTTCGGATCGGATCGGATATTGGGAGGTTCGGATTCGGATATTTTCGCATTCGGATAGTTCGGCACGGTTAATAATAAGCTGCATATGTATTTTTAACCTATAAAACAATGTAAAGCTGTGTAAATAAACTTAAATGATGATTTTGAACTATAGAATTTCAAATTAGCCAAGTCCACAGTTTTCTCTCTCTTGAAAATCACAATTCACAACATTTATTTTCAAAAGTTGGTTGCTTGAATTAAGTACACTAGCAGCCGAAATCTTCACGCAACACCTTAGCTCAGCAGGACTGATGTCAAACGTTTGGGCTTGTTACTTGAGGTTATGTTTTATCTTGTTTCCTGGTTCTCACAAGCTAAGGAGTTCAATCTCAAGTTTATTTTCACATTGTATTTCCTTACGTTTTTGGAACGGATTATTGGCCTTAAGTGGCATTTTGCGGGTTTGCCAAGTTTAGAAAACATCACTAATGCACTAAGATGGGCTCTAGCGCACGATTTGATGTTGGGCAATTAAATTAGACTTTACAACTGTGTAGAAGGTGTGTATCCCTGAATTTATAAATTGCATTCTACACTTATTCACTGCCAAACATAATTCAGTAGAACCTTGATGAACCGAGAATTACACTAGCCTACATAACTTCACTACCCCAAGTAAAATACCAAGATAATTTATATATATAATTGTATTTGAATCGTATAATCTTAGTTTGTTAAAAATGGATTGTATGTTCAACAATAATTGCAGTCCATTATTGTTAAGCGGTATGGTCCCAAACTATTGTTTTTGATTTTAAAACATCACAGTTCATTTGACAAAATTATAGTTGAAGCAGCCCAATGTCAAGTCACGCTTGTGCAATAGTTTGTTTACAAGCTTTCTCCAGACCACGAGGAGGGGAGGGTCTGATAAGCCGACTATTGTTCACCCCCAAGAAGGTCCGACGCTCATTAGTGCCGCTCGGCTGCACTCAGTGGGGAACCCAATACCACAAATCAATCTTTTAAATGAATACAAATATTTGGTAATAATTGTTTTATTAATATTCACCTTGAAATTTAAATAAATTTGGTGTAAAATTTGACAAAAATCAGCCATTTTGACCGATTATTAATACAGTACCAAATACCAATAAAGTAGTACATTCATTGGTAATTAAATAATAGGTACAAATTAACCGATTTTCGTCAAGTTTTACCCCCCTGCTGTGCGCTATGTCACAAAAGCTGATAACGACATGGGTGATTAGTAACCATGGCAACTTGTTGAATGCGTGATGAAGGGAAATCCAAGAAATAGAAGAACAAAGAGAAAGAATAACAACGTTGTTATCTTTATACCTTTTTTACAATTTCCGTTATTGTTATCTTTATGTAAGATTTTATGATTTTGTTTTATAGGTTTATAAAATAATTCTTTTCAACTACGGGAATATCAATTTATAATTTATCAACGTGCTTCTCTTCTGAAACAGCAATACCGGATGCATAATAAAGGTCAATGACCTAAAATATCACGATTGTGCAATATTGTATTTTGATGTTGAAATTAAAATCACGACAAAAGTTTGTATATATATCCATGGTCCCTATAGTTTAATCATTTAATATGTACACAATCAATGCTAAATAATCGTGGTTAGTTCTAACTTTATTTTTTACTATTCAAAGTTTCTACACAGTAAGACAATCCAAAGTCAAACCGGGCAATGAATACCCAAAAAACAACGTATCTTGTCCTGTGATTGGAATACCACTTGCCGGCCAGTCCTTTAGGTTTAGGGAAGTAGTGCAAGTCTATATATAGCTTCAAGGTCTTACCCACCCCTTCCCCCTCTGGTCCTACTTGACTCACTACCCGCGCTCCTTTCGAGGTCATTGCCCAACCCCTCCCACCCTTCTATTGTGTTGCCTTTCTATTGTTTCTATTCTGACTTTTTTTTGGGAAACATTAAATCTATTGTTTACGTAACATCACAGTAGTAGGTTAGATTTTTCTACTTTGAAACAGTACTGTAAAAAAAACTATTACACAGCGCCCCTAGTATCAGGAGCGAGACAAGCACGAGTTGACTTTCATTTGACCATGGTAGTTCTTTTCTGCTTTAAGTCTGTTCGTTCCAGACGAATCTAATCGTAAAGCAAAACACCCGATAACGACTAAACTAGTTATCAGTATTGCATCATACGGCTTCTTTGCCGTTTGCTGTTAGGTCGTTGGAAACGTATTGCTGTAATTTTGTCCTGGGAAACTAATGGTGGCTATGGAGATTTAGTTTTCTGTCCAAAACGTCAAAATATATTGTCTATCCGAAAAAGTCGGATATATAACGGATAGTGTCGGATATCGAATTTGGGCCCGGTTCGGATACGGATATCCGAACCGAACCGAATCCGACCCGATTTTTCGGATATCCGCACACCTCTAGTTGATGTGAGCCACCAACAGATTGTGCTGATCCAAACAGGGCCGTCCAAAGGGGGGGGGGCGCCGTGGCCGAGGGGGCGCCGCGCAGTGGTTATTTGTATTATTAAAATATGCGAATGCGACTGATTATTACTGGGGGGAGGGGGCGCCACAACAACGTTTGCTCCGGGCGCCGCCAACCCTAGGGACAGCCCTGGATCTAAATTACTGATTTCTGTTGAATACAAAATATTTTTTACCAATTCAAACTAATGGATTGACTTATCTTAAGCTATAGCAACTGTATGACCCATCAACTTGGCCAGTAACAAAAAATAAGGTGGAAAATAGAGTTTTAATCACTAGCACATTCTGTGACTCGACTGGCTCACACAACTACGTTCTTTTAGCGAATTTCCCTATAGGGAAGTAAGGACTGTCTTATCACTGTCACTGACTAAATAAAACCTGACAGTGCTGGTCAGCCTTTACAGTTTTAACAAGTTTTATCACTTTTATTCAATTTTAATAATTTGATCAACATGACTAGTTTATACTATTGTGATTCTGACAGTGTTTTAAAGAATCTTTTGACATACCACAATGTATTAATACATTGATGATGTGGTTGCATACAATGACCTGACGAAGTTCTAAGGAACGAAACTAGTTGTCATACCAGCAACTGTGATTGGAAAAGGTAATTCTTCTATTTTATCAATTATTTTATGCGGCACTGCATAGGTGGCAACAGCCATGACAGCAACCATTTTGTGAACTCTCTTTCGCTACACATGACAAAGTTCTCCCACAGGACAAAATATTTCAAGGTTTAAAAGGTTAACAATTTTGGGTTATTAGTAGGCTACTCCAGTAGAGTAAAAATAAAAAACTGGTTTCAGTTTTCAGCTTGTGGTTGCGTTAATTGGAGCGTCAGTATACATCTTATTCTTTCACACAGGCCCTCAGTGTGTACAGCGTATGTTCGCCCCTCACTAATCAATCAGGGATATGTTCTATTTATAGAAAGATATAACTTAGCTGAATACATTAAATAAAGAGAAAATTTTCTTCGATACATACACTACTATTGATAACATATGTTTGCTAATTTATGTTTCAATAATAGACTGGTAAAGTTGATTAAAACAAAGCATAGATGATTTCTTGCTCTCTTAAAATAAAAAATTTAGGTAATAACTAATTAACGAATCCAGTCTTCTGTATAACAGTATTACTTACAGATGATTTTTGTAAAGTCTCTTCCATCGCTGACACATATTCCATGGAACTAGCTAGCTTGTTACGTTTCTTTGCTTCTGCCTTTTCTTTGGCTTTGTTCAATTCACTTTCTAATGATTTCAAGTCTGCTTGGTCATTACTTTGTTTTAATAAGCTCGAAAACTTTTTTGTTTTTTCCCTAAAATATACAAAAACTATAAAGTTTTATTCTCAATTTAAATGAAAGAATGCCTAAGTTAAAATAAGATCAGCCTTTCAATGTCTAAAAAAAACACACAAAGATGCTGAGTATTGTCTACCACCCGATCTACGAGATTTGTGTCACCTAAAGAAATCAAAACAGTTTATCTATTTACCAAAAAATTATATACCAATAGGTGGTTTAACCAATTTTAGCTATCAGGAGTGATAAATCACTTTACCAAAAAACTTGCCTATGATAGCACACACCCTTAAGGCTGGTTACACACTGGCATCGTCTAAATTGTGTCGTCAACATTGTGTACCTACGACATATTTCATGTCATGTCCGAGGGATGTTGTATGTGAAACCAACCCATGTTATCAAGTAAGAGCTTACACACTGTCAGGGATATAATCTCATCTCTGAATTGGACATGTGTCGTGTGAGACATTTTGTACATCAAAGGACTGGCAAATGCACACTGGCATTCATCCCCCAAGAAACAAGTTTATTCGGCTGTCTAAAAAGTATGTTTTGAGTGGTTTTCAAAGCATAAGGTTTTGCTTCATTCTGATTTTGGTAATCCTGAGCAATTACTTGGTCAACCCAAAACTTTTTCATATTTTACTACGGTCATAAGGATGTTCTCAGAAAACAAGAAACATATAATTGAAGCCCCGCAAGGGCATCGTACAGGTTGCCGAGCGATAAAAAGGTTCAAAGTCTACGCGATAACAGTGGCTTGTGTGGATAACAGTGGGAAACGCGCGGAAGGCCAGTTGTGATAGTACCGTTATGTTATGTTATGTTATGTTAGGTTAGGTTAGATTAATTCATATTATTAACCTATCATATAATATAATTCTTATACCTCCAGGATCATTATGTAAATCATTAATAACCTAACCTAACCTTGCGGGGCTTGAATTATATGTTTCTTGTTTTCTGAAAACATCCTTATGACTGTAGTAAAATATGAAAAAGATTGGGGTTGACCAAGTAATTGCTCATAATTACCCTGATTTTTTTAAAACTTGTTTGGTTATTACCGTACGCTGTCCTACTTCAATGTATACCGAGGGTACAAGAAAGTACAAAAAAAAAAACATTCAAATCAAACTCACACAAACTATTTCAAGTCCTACAAGACAGGACTGATGAGAATTATAGTATTGATGACCACTGGAATGAATTAAAAGAAATAATTACGACCGTCTCAAATGAAGAATTCAAACCAATGGAATGACGGAAGAAAAATAAACCATGGTTTAGTAATAGTTTTGAAGATTTAATTCAGCCCCGGGAAAAAAACAAAAAAGTGTTTATTGAGCGGAGCGAGCAAAGCGAGCGAAGCTCTTATACATCGACTTTTATGCATTTCGTAATACGCAAACTCCTCCTAGACGGCTGAATCAATCGTTTTCAAATTTTGGATGGTGATAAAGACCATATCGGTGAGTGCCAACATCTATATGGCGTTAAAAATAACTCTCAGGAATCCGCCCCACTGGGTCTCAAAGATTCAATGTAATCCTTATGGAAGCAGTATTTGACACATAAACAAAAACATATGATCAGCTGTTGACTTTTGAATGCAGTAGATAAAGAAATAGCTGATAGCATTATTCCACAGATATTAGAACAGAAACGGTATGAATCATAAATATAATCAAATGACGACACTAGCTTGAGGTCCGTGACGTAGGAAATGCTAAAGGAAGTACTAAAGGTGAGCAGTCTGGAGTGTGAAAACTGTTTATGACGATTAGATTTAGGTATCTGCATTCCTAAAACTCTATGGGAAGGGAGGAAAACGGGTCCGCGACGTAGGAAGTGGTGAAGGTAGTAGTCAAGGCGAGTTCTGTCCGGAGTGTGGGAACTTTTTATGACTATTAGATTAAGAAATTTGCAATCATAAAATGCCATGGAAAGGGAAGGAAACAGGTCCGTGGCGTTGGAAGTGGCGAAGGAAGTAGTAAAGGCTAGCGGTCCGGAGTATGGGAACTGTTTATGACGATTAGATTAAGGTATCTGCAATCCTATGATGCTATGGGAAGGGAGGGAAACAGGTCTGTGACGTAGGAAGTGGTGAAGGAAGTAGTAAAGGCGAGCAGTCCGGAGTGTGGGAACTGTATATGACGTTTAGATTAAAGTATCTGCAATCATAAAATGCTATGGGAAGGGAGGGAAACAGGTCCGCGACGTAGGAAGTGGCGAAGGAAGTAGTAAAGACGAGCAGTCCGGAGTGTGGGAACTGTTTATGACGATTAGATTAATGTATCTGCAATCATAAAATGCTATAGGAAGGGAGGAAAACGAGTCCGCAAAGGAGGAAGTGATGAAGGAAGTAGTCAAGGCGAGCTTTCCGGAGTGTGGGAACTGTTTATGACGATTAGATTAAGGTATCTGCAATCATAAAATGCTGTGGGAAGGGAGGAAAACAGGTCCGCGACGTAGGAAGTGATGAAGGAAGAAGTCAAGGCGAGCTGTCCGGAGTAAGGGAACTGTTTATGACGATTAGATTAAGGTATCTGCAATCACAAAATGCTATGGAAAGGGAGGGAAACAGGTCCGTGGCGTAGGAAGTGGTGAAGGAAGTAGTAAAAGCGAGCAGTCCGGAGTGTTGGAACTGTTTATGACGATTAGATTAAGGTATCTGCAATCATAAAATGCCATGGGATGGGAGGTAAACAGGTCCTCGACGTAGGAAGTGATGAAGGAAGTAGTAAATGCGAGCAGTCCGGAGTGTGGGAAGTGTTTATGACCATTAGATTAAGGTATTTGCAATCCTATGATGCTATGGGAAGGGAGGGAAACAGGTCCGCGACATAGGAAGTGGTGAAGGAAGTAGTCAAGGCGAGCTGTCCGGAGTGTGGGAACTGTTTATGACGATTAGATTAAGGTATCTGCAATCATAAAATGCTGTGGGAAGGGAGGAAAACAGGTCCACGATGTAGGAAGTGGTGAAGGAAGTAGTCAAGGCAAGCTGTCCGGAGTGTGGGAACTGTTTATGACGATTAGATCAAGGTATCTGCAATCATAAAATGCTATGGGAAGGGAGGTAAACTGGTCCATGAAGTAGGAAGTGGTGAATTAAGTAGTAAATTCAAGCAGTCTGGAGTGTGGGGACTGTTTATGACGATTAGATTAAAGGATCTACAATCCTAAAATGCTATGGGAAGGGAGAGAAAAGGTCCGAGACGGATGAAGAGGTGAAGGCAGTAGTCAAGGTGAGCTCTCCGGAGTGTGGGATCTGTTTATGACGATTAGATTAAGGTATCTACAATCTTAAAATTTTATGGGAAGAGAGGGAAACAGGTCCGCGACGTAAGAAGAGGTGAAGGAAGTAGTAAGGTGAGCAGTGTGGAGTGTGCGAACTGGAAACCATTTGTAGCAGTTAGATTAATGTATCTGCAATGCTGAAATGCTAGGAGAAAGGATGGAAGCATCCCCACGACATAGAAAATGGTGAAAGAAGTAGTAAAGGCTAGCAGTGCGGAGTGTGGGGAATGTTTGTGGCAATTAGATTAACGTATCTAAAATACTAAATTGCTATGGAAAGTTATGAAAACAGGTCCATGATGTAGGAAATTGCTTAGAAAGTAGTAAAGTATGAGCATAGTATGAAAACCGTCTGTGGCAGTTAGATTGATGTATCTTTAATCCAAAAATGCTATGAGAAGGGAAGGAAACAAGAGTCTATGACGTAGGAAATGGTGAAGGAAGTAGTAAGGCTTGCAGTGTAGAGTGTGGGAACTGTCTTTGGCAATTACATTAATGTATCTGCAATCCTAAAATGCTATGGGAAGAGAGGGAAATAGGTCCACGACGTAGGAGGTGGTGAAGGATGTAGTAAAGGTGAGCGTGTTGAGTGTAGGAATGGATAAATGTATCTGCTATGCTAAAACGCTGTGGGAAGAGACTGTAGACTGTAGGTTAAAATAATTACGAAGCACGAATCGATACACATTTCGATACATGTAATCGTTTACAATAGAAATTTACAACTGAGTTGACAACAGCTGATTTTTTCTCCATAGAGGATAAAAACTATTTTTACTTCCTAAAGATGAAAAATGCTACTTTAGACCCGCAACGCATGTATTAAAAACGACTGGTATTACTGCAGTATGACAAAACGATATAATATAAACCCTTGATGGCTCCGCTCAATTTTGTGGATGCCTCTGCGAACGCCACCTAGTTGAGGAATGACTGCAATGAAAGAAGAAATCAATACAATGAACTTAACAAGCAAATCTTTAAGAAACTTAGAGCCAAGAAACAAAAAAATATATCCATACTTATAAAAGGCAAAGCCCTCACTGACTCACTCACTCATCACTAATTCTCCCACTTCACATTTAACTGGGAGGCTGAAATTCGGTACACCGATTCTTTATGTATTAGCTTAGAATAATTCTTTATTCTTTATATATAATTTATGTTACAATAAATTATAAAATCCTATGGTCTGAGCCCAGCCAATTAATAATTTAACTTGAACCCTGGACACACCTGACTGGCAGCAGATCCGAGGCATATAAGGTGTAGTTTTACCCCCCCTCGGAATTAACTCCTTAAAAATGATAGAAAACAAGCATATCCACTTTCTTACGTTAACCTTATGGGGAAAAATAAAATACGATAGCTTGCATATTTCTGAACACATCTTATTAAAACTTGGTATATCCCTTCTTTTAGTTGAGTACTACATGATTATGGTCTAAAATCTCTAGTTTTACATTACAAAAGGGCAGACAGGTAATCTTAAAGTAAATTATCTTAAACACACAACGAAACAACGAAAAATAGAAGTTCAAAATAGAATAACCCTTGCTTCAGCAACCTACTGGTCCATAATTATAACCTTTAGGTCAAAGCTTTTATCAGAAAACGCCAAGGTTAAATAAAATATATCACTCAATAACCTTTCCTGTATTATAGTGTGGCTCTGAGACTTTCATATTTTTTTTACAGCTCATATTTTTTTTTTTTTTATAAGACACTGAGAAGGATCTATGTTAGGATGGTAAGGGATGAATTAGGGTGGAGAATCCGAAAGAACAGGGAACTAAATGACATATATCAATACCCAATATCGTTGCTAGAATAAAGAGCAGAAGACTGAGATGTGCAGGACATGTATGTATGAAGACGAGAAGGTAAGTCTATAATCAAAACTGTAGACCAGTATAACCCAGAATGTAGGAGACCACTCAACAGGCCGATCTTGGGTTGATGAACACTAATTAGCATTATTGTGATATTGGCAATAAAATTAAAATAGAATCTGTTGTACATTCAAACAGTTGGATTCTTAGAAAACAATAAATGCGACATTACCCTGCTTCTTGAAACCTTTTGTCAATTTCTTCCTTTAACTTGACATTTTCTTCTAATTTCTCTTGTATAGCTTTCCACGTCTTTTTTGGATCCTTGCTGTTTTCTAAGTTGCTGACATATGCTATTATTTCTTTGGCTTTCTCTGAAACAGAATTTATCAGGTAAAACTTATCAATAAACCATAAATTAAATGCATAGCTTTTAAAACAGACACTGAAAGCAGGTAAAGGGAGGGGAAGGTTGTGAAGAATTACTCGTTCCTGCCCAGCAAAGAAAAATCTGAGTGAAACTAAAGCAAAAATCATATTGAAGTAACATATCATATTTGAGTAAAACACTCTTCTGCAAACCAGAGAGATTGGGAGGAGTACATCCAACTACTTCCTTCTTGTAACCCTATTAGGCTGTAAATCACGATTTTCGTTTATAACTACACAAACTATCTGACCAGGCGAAAACACAATATCATTTAGCTGCCCAAAATTATCCTTCTGAATACTATGCTTCTATTGAATTGATATGATGAGGTCTTATCTTAGCAATCCTAATATTGTCAATTTAACAACAAAATCAATTTCAAACCCGAAGGTTCATTATCAGTCAGGATCTTCATTGACCAAATTTCAACAGTTGTATTCACCAAAGGGTACATATAGAAGTTTAAATAACACTAAATATTTTACAATAAACACAAATTTTACATATAAAGTAGGGATAAAAACTATGGTTTAAAAATGTAGGTTAACCTCACTTTCACTTGGAAACACGTTGCCGGCAACTGACAGGTTGATAACGGGATTGCAGTTTATTTTGACTACGAGTTTGGTAATTGGTGAAAAAAAATTATATTCTTGATAATAAGTTGTTGGATTGAGGTGGATAGGTGATTTCTTGATTGATTTTACCGAATTTCCCATAAGGAATAAGCTATTACCGTATTGCTCATGGTAAAACCTGGACATATATATATATATATGGCATAGGCCTATACAATTGAAAAAACATCCTTGAATTAAACTAAAGCAAAAATAGGCTATTATAAAATATACACAACATTTAACAAAGAAGAAATGAAGGTTCTCTAAATTTAAAGTTACATTAACATATGATTATTCATATTCATATTTAAACATCTTTATTCATCACTAGCTGTGTGCCCGTTCTACGCACGGGGATCTTATCGTAGTCAGTTGAAACCTTCTTATATTAAGAACAGCAGTTGGTTTGTATATTTTCAGATATGTTGGCAAAACTATTATATATAAACCATCGCAAATACAGTATCTGACAGTTTCAAGCCAAAATAAATGTCACCCGGATCGTGTTGGTCCATATGTTAAATCCAATGATTAAACAAAAAAATGCTTTATAGATCTATTAGGCATAGCCCTAAGGTAGGCCTATAATTGAAAGTTACTTTCTACAATGGTTAAAAGTATTTAAGGTACTACCTCAACCCCACTATTTAACACTTTATTCGGGTTGACATTTTCATTATCAAGGTGCTCTTGTCCTTTCCGTGAAACACTGAGAAATAAGGACATTAATACATTACCAACAGACATACACACAAAAATACAGAACTTAATTAGGGAATTTGCTACGCTTTAAGCATAACAAAGTAAATATAAAATTAGTATTTGAAATATTTTTTAATGTCATCATATTTTATCATACAAATTTATATTTGCTTGGACCGAAGATGACCCGAAATGCTGTCGAAATGACGGCTTAATTTATGAAATGAAGTACTATAGACGATTTAGATTGGTAATTTATAATAAAAATTACCAAAATAGGCCACGAACTATTGATACACAAACAACGTTCAAAGCGTTTGAATAATTCATGATGGTTTGCTGAATAAATGTTTTACTAAAATGTGTTATCGTTTTCTTAGCATAAACTAACATTTTGGAATCCAGACAGAAAAAGCAAATCTTATACAGTTAAGATATCAATTAAATTGAATACGCCTGTAATAAATAAGGTGCAACACCAACGATAACTAATTTGTAGGCCTAAATGACAGTGATGTTTTGGTACGTAAAAATAATTCTTGCTGCTACCAATGGTTCAAAGGAAAAGAACCAGTACCGTACCAAAAACCAACGTTTACGTTTACAGTTAAGAACTATAGTACATCCGACCAATTATATGCGTTAATCGAGGTTATTGATCTCTTGGTTTTGGATTTTCTCGTAAAAAGTTATCGACAATCAAAGTTATTTCCCATTAATTGCTTTATTTGTAGTGACAGGTAGAAAAAATAATCTTGATCCGAACAGCTGTTCGTTATTTCATAGATGATTATGTGATAAAAATTGGACGAAAACTTGACAATGATTGCAAAAAACTGAATTTTTGAACGTCCGTTATTTTATTTACAAAGTAGTGATAGTTTAATGGTTAAAGACACTCTTGCCAATCCAGTGAATACTGAATACATTAAATTGACTTGGATCTTGATTGATATGTACTCTCGTTTTCCTGGAGAAGATAGCGTAAAATGCCATCTTGAGTGTTACAGACAGACAGAAATAGAGATAAGACTCATTCCTGCTTCTTTAATGTATAAAACGTAAAAATAACCTAAAAATATATAATTCTGAGCAATGTACAGACAAAACTCTAATTTTATTTATATAGATAACTCATGTTCGTTGATGGTATAGTGAATAGTGCCAAAATACATAATATAAAAATACTATTTATATTTCTGGGAGGTGGAAAACTTTTCAAAAGAATATACGAGTTTTCAATAAACATGCTTGTTTTTTAATATCAGTGTGGTAGAAAAGTCCCGAAATGGTTTAATATACTTTTTACCAATATAGATAAAGTAATGAGACTTGGTATATCAATAACAGCCATAAATTTCTACTCTTTTAAGCTATTATCACTTTTTTGTCTTTTAAGGGATCAAAAGTCCACGAGGAGTCAGATAAAGTTTTTAAATAGCAGCATAGGTCGATTTAATTAAAGGTCTTATTTAGTAGAACACATTGCTGCAAACCCGAACTCAAACGGACAATTGTGTCAAAAGTGGCAGCCGTTAAAATATTTCTTGCATCAGCCAATTTGAATTTTTGAGCGGCTGCCATTTTTTACTCAGTTGTGCTACATACATACATATCCTCTCCCGCTCCGATTATCTTCGGGTCTGGGTGTTCACTAGGCCTCTCCATCTTCTGCTGTCCTTCCACAATTCCAATTCCTCCACATTCGAAAAGGTCGAAAGGGAGAGCCATTGCCATTGCACTCCTCTTGCTTACACATAAAGTCTCACCTTGTCGACCACTTTCTTCTAAGTCTTCCTCTTGGTCTTCTTCCATCCATTCGAAGTTCACTCATTCTTTTTGGGATTCTTTCATTCTCCATTCATTCTTCTTACGTGGCCGAACCATCTCAGTCTCGTCTTCTCTACTCGTTCTCTTAAACTTTCTTCAACTATTCCTCTTCTCAGCTCTTCATTCCTCATTCTGTCTAACAGTACGTCCAGAGTGCACGCCAATTCAGATATTTTGTTGGTGGCCACAGTGGAAGCAGAAAATACGCCGCCGGTACTGACTCGGTTAGCAAAGAAGCAAGTAATTTGTTGTTATGGAATTGTCAGATGAGGAATTAACGTGTAAAATTATAGCGTCTGAAAATTTTGTTAAGTTACAGCACAGCCAGTGTGAATTGTGTCCATAATAATACACATCTCTTCTCCCATAGCTAGAAATGATAGAGCTTCTTTCTATATTGCGTTGAATGGAGCCCGAAATCACCGAAACTTATTATTAAAATTGGTCATCGTATTGTAAGAAACTGGTGTAACCTAAGCAAATAAAACAATTTTCCTGAAGAGCGTTTAATGGTACCCTAAAAGTAAGGATTGAAAAAAAAATTTAATATTTTACTATAAAAACTTATTAAAAAAATTCATTTAACTAAATAGTATGCGTACGAGCAAAATCTGAATCGGAATCTGAAACCAGCATGAAGAATTCATTCCGGTAATCATTAATTTCCCTGATTAATTGGAAAAAAATTGAATTAATTTCCATTTTTTATTTTTGACCCAATTAACATAAATATTCTCAAAATACAAATAAAACCTGCACATATACGACCAATAACCTATTCTTTTGATACAACCCGCATGTAAATCGGTCCACTAGTATGGTCAGGGTAGCTGTTGTATGCTTAAAATTGTTGCCGCATGTTAAATCTCTACAAGAAAAGTTTAATTTCCATTTAAATTTAATTTTATTTCCAAATTTCCCATATAGGGAATATTAGCTAATTTCCCATATAGGGAATAAGCTATTACCCAGTGTTGGGAAGTAGCGCGCTACAAGTAGCGACGCTACAGTAGCGCGCTACTTTTTTTGTAGCGTTAGCTGTAGCTACGCTACTTTTAAGATTTTGTAGCTTTAGCTGTAGCTAGCTACATTTTCAAAGTAGTTGTAGCGGAGTTTTAGCTACTTTTCTCGCTACATTAACATTGATTGAGATAGTGATTTTTAGACGTTTAAACGTTACCGGTGGTGGCAAGAGAAGCTATTGAATGCTTGCAAGTGATTGACAGGGAAATTAGTAATCAATTTAGTTTCTTTATTGTATCAATTTAGTTTAAACTTGGGTTTTAATGGAAACCAACACTAAACCTTAAAATAATGAGAAAGCTGGTCCATCAACCTTTGCTTCAGCTGTTGATTGTGGTTTATCATCACAAGCCCTTCCTTGGTTAGATTATAATGATTTTTCAAAGGTTTACTAAATGAACGAAGAGGGAATTTCCTGATGAGATTTAAGATATGCCTAGAATACATAATAATTGTAACGAAAAACTCTCCATATAACATGAAACTTGCATTGATAAAGTAGCATACAGTAGTTTGCTCCTGCTAACAGCTCTTGTCAAGGACTATTCCTAGGCTATGCTATTGAAATAATACGAATACCAAGTTCAATTAATAGGAATATATCTGTAGTCCTTGTAAGAACTAGTCTACTATAGCCAACTTGTTACAAAGCCAAGTACACCTAAATGTTATTTTTACTTAACAATTTTCAACATGTTTAAATTAAAAGCCGATTTCAGTATAAGTTGCTGAATACTGTTTTCTGCACCAACGTTTGTTGAAGCACAATTTGACTTATGCATAGTGACAAAGGACGATTTATTGACATTGAAAAGTGTCATCGAACAAGTATAACATATTACTATGGTTAAAAGTTATATCAATGCCGTTTTTAACATTAAAAATACAGAAAGGCAATAAACTCCAATTTCATTAGGCTAGGCTCTGTAACACAAAAAAGTATTTTTAAATAATCGTTTTACAGTTTTATTGTTTTTAATAGTTAATAAAAGACATCTATAAATTAATGTATATTAAAGAAATAAAATGGGCTTTTAAAATGTAGTTTGGTTGTAGGTCCTTTGAACTTAATGAAATTTACTTATAAGATGCTTAAAAATAATACAATATTTAAAAATAAGTACTAAATATGATGGAACACCCAACTAACTTATTTTGGTTCTGTTGTTGTAATGTTAGGTTTATATAGTTGCAATTAATTTTACATTTACCTAATGTGCGTGGAATAAAAGTAACGTCTTTGGAAAAGTAGCTAAAATTGTAGCTGTAGCTACATTTCATTGTAGCTGTAGTTGTAGCTAGCTACTTTCTCTGAACTGTAGCTGTAGCTGTAGCTAAGCTACTTTTTTGGAAATGTAGCAGTAGTTGTAGCTAGCTACATTTTAAAAGTAGCTTCCCCAACACTGCTATTACCGTAGGTCTCATGGTAAGACCTAGACCCGGGACCGATTTACTTTTTTGTTTTGAGGTCCCCAGATGCCAAAAACCCCATCCGTTCAAATTCATATATATTAATTATATATGTGTCTGCTAGCACTATAACTCGAGCAAAAATGATCTGATTTTGATGAAATTCAATTTGGTTTCCCCAATTCACTTTGGCTGAAGTGGGGTAAGGGTACGCACAGGGCAAGTGAACACATTGACTATGAATAAGCCATAAATGAAAAAAAAATTTAATTAATCTTTTTATATTATTTGAAATGTGATCTTTCAGATTTTGAAGCTAGAAACAAGCATTTATCATTATTTATACATGAAAATTAAGTTTTAAAATACCATTGCCTTTTTACTTACTACAAAAGTACCTCCTTCAAATTTTGAATACAAAAAGATACAAAAAAAATTTGAAAATTGGTACACTGATGCTGTTTTGTAAGAGGAATGAAAAAATGTAGTTTGTTTATTTCTAAAATGTATTGCTTAGAAAAAAGGGGGTTACACTTTCCCCGGGCTAAACAGTGGTTGGGGTAAGTGTACTTTCAGCCACGGGGTAAGTGTACATAGCCCCGTCTCTAAAGTTGATAATTGAAAGTTGTGATGGGTCAAATGGTATAGAGAAACTACCACATGCAATATAAATTGGCTTGAGCTGTAAATAAGTAAATAGTTAGTTTACCATCTATTTCCATAGCATATGAACAGTACCTAAATGTTTGTAGGGTTAGTGAAATAGTTATGATAGCCAGATATGAACTATTTAGTAATTATTTGGCGGAATTAGAAAAAAAGGTCATTTAAAGTGCAGAATTCACCTCCAGGTAAGAGGCATTAATACGCATATTTAAAATTGTGTTTTTTTATTCTAACTATTACATTGTTTGTGTCATGTGAAATAAGTTTTTTTACAGCATTTAATTAATTTAAAATAATTTAATAACAAACTAATATTAATACAGTTGAACCTCGTAACAAGACCCTCAATAATAAGTCACCCTAGCTAGATAACAAGTGTCATTTTATTATCCCCTTGAATTTATTTTACCCCTAATCACATGTTATTATAAACCTTGATAACAAGTCTTATTTTATAATCCCCTTGAGAGTCTTGTTAACGAGGATCTACAGTGTAAATGTACAAATTAGCCGTTGTGCGATAATTGAATGCGGACTTCCACGAAAAAGTTCATAACTCCTGAACAGTTGGAGATATTTTAATAAATAAAATACCCCCGCAGCAAACCTGCCAACTAAGCGAATTTCCATGTGTCTGAATTGATTTTCAGTTAAATATATTTTAATAACATTAGGTTTAACGAGTACCTAGGTTTGCTGCTACAAGGAAACTAATAAAGTGTGTTTTTGAGTAAAATATTGATACCTTAGTACAAAATAAATAAATTTTCCAAGTTTGATCAAAATATATCCATAAACAAGCAAACTACAACATTTGACAATATTCTCCATAAGAATAACATGGGAATTTTAAATTTACAATTTTTTTAATTTTCTTCGTTACTAATAATCAAACAAAATTACTTTTATATACTAATTTTTTTTTTAAGCTCTTTAAAAAAGCCTATAGAGATATCGGGAAATTTTGTGTTTTGAGGGTCAAAAGTGAGAAAAACCAATTTTTACCCCATAAAACCCCCGTAAAGCCCCGTTCCCATGGTCCGATTGTGCTGGTTCGCGAACTCATTCAAGTTTATCCCGCTTTACACCTTTAAACCAAATTTCATCAAAATCGGACAAAAATTACTCAAGTTACCGCGTTCACGGACGTATATATATATATATCTAATATATAAAATTCTCGTGTCACAGTGTTTGTCTGCAAACTCCTCCGGAACGACTTCACCGATCGTTATGAAATTTGGTGTGTAAATTCTGTAGGTATGCGAATCGGACGTAAACTATTTCCCGTTTCGAAATTCTTAAAAGGGCTCCGCCCCAGTGGCTCTGGAGTTTCCCATGTTAACCTTATGAGAAATGGAATTAATGAATCTTAACAGCTGTTTCAATTAAACAAGTTGGTTCTGTTCTATGATGTTTAATAGCATTAAAGTTACAAGGATTACCAACAGGGTGCAGCACTATTATTTCTTTTACATTTATGACAACAGCTAATTTGCAACCAAAAGGTGAGTGAGCGTAGCGAACGAGCTCCAACCCAAAGGTGAGTGAGCGTAGCGAACGAACTTCAACCTGGAGGCGAGTTAGCGTAGCGAACGAGCTAACCTGAAGGCAAGTGAGCGCAGCGAACGAGCTCCAACCCAAAGGTGAGTGAGCGTAGCGAACGAACTTCAACCAGGACGTGATTGAGCGATGCGAACGAGATCATCTTGAAAATTAAACGTAACGGTACTTTCTTTCCATCGGTCTGTCTTAGGGGAAACCTATAACTTAGGCGATACGAAGTTCGCCGGGTCAGCTAGTATATATATATATATATATACATATATTAAAATTTGAACGAATGGTGTTTTTGTCCTCTGGGGACATCAAAATGATAAAGTAAATCGGTCCCGGGTCTAGGTCTTACCGTGCCACATACGGTAATAGCTACCCCCCAAATCCCCCCCCCCTATCATTGTAAATCCCCCTATAGGGAAATTCGCTAAAACCATTTTAATCAGCACATTCTAAGCTATACTTCACTTGTCCCAGATTTCACCTTTAAATGAGTATAAGGAGGGGTGCGTACACTTACCCCACTTCACCCTACTGCAACTCTGTACTCAGTGTGATCAATGACATGATTGTAAATCTTGCTGGTGTGCTGCAACGCTCACAGAATTATTGCTTGCGATTTGTTTATGATTTAAGACGCTTTGGGCACATCACACCTTCAACATTGATTCAAAATATTTAAGTTAAATTATCAGAGGTTAGTAAAAATCACTTTGTTAGCATTTTAATTTTTTTTTAATAGATTGCCAAGAAAATATTTTGGAAGTGACTTTAGCTTTGTTGCTGAAGGTAGTTTGATGACTTTGCGCACTGCATCTTTCACGTTGTGCATACCCCAACATGGACACACAGTACATGGTAGCACAGTACAGGGCCTTTGTTGTAACTACCTGCCGTCATTATAACTGTCTACCTCTATCATAAAAATGAATGGCAGCTATCCTCGGTTTGTGGCGGCACTCAAAAAATTGTACTTGGAGAGTATGGCCTCGGCTGATGCGTCCTAGGACTGTTTTGGCGCTTGCATAACTCCTGACTGAGTAAGTGAGTTTGTAAGTCATTTTGTTTGATAATTTTAGTTATTTAATTTGTTTTTAAATAATGCTTAGGTATAAATTTATTATTTTATTTATATATTTATTTTATATTTAAATATATATTATTTATACGTAGGTTAAGTGTAATGTGGGCCATATGACCCTAACTTTGCCTGTTAAAATAATATATTTATATTTCATCTCAAAAGTACATCCTCATTTTTGGTGCATTTAAAAAAAATAAATGATGTCTGGTTGTATGGAGACAGTGATTGACGCCTGATGTAAACATTCAATCCAGATATGGTCTCTAGAAAATATTAAACGTCAGCTTCACAAGTTTTTTTTATTAATTTAAAGGTTTGAAATAAAAGTCTTTTGGAATACATTTCGTTATTAACTCCATCAACTAAATAATAGTCGTTCATATATATTACTCAGTAGACTATCCATATAATGATAATAATCGTAATATTAAAATCATTATAATAAAATATTAATAATAAATTATGGATATTATTTAATAGGTGGGTCGCAAAACAAAATCCAGGATGAAGATGGGTCCCCAGACCAAAAGTTTAAGAACCGCTGGTATAGATGGATATGGAATCAATATTAAATACACAACAGACTCCAACATACTGTTTTAGGTAACAAACAAAATAATAAAACTTACCATCCATTTCTTTAAACAGTTCATTGTATAATTTCACAGCTTCATTGCCAAGAGTCTTGATGTCTGTGACTGAGACATTCACCACTGCCACTGGCTTTTTGGTTGAATCGAAAGCGGCTAAAACAGTAACATTGGATGTTTTCAGTTATGTCAATTTACATTTAGGAAACCATTATATTAAAATAAAGACAACTAAATTAGGTGAACGGGAGATGATCACAGTGTTGTTCGTCAAATACGTCATAAAGAGAGGCTAATGGGATTTGCCATGATTCTGATGTGAACAGATTTCAATACAAATTAGAAATAAGTTTTAGAATTGAATAAAAATACAGGATAATAGTACGATATCCTACTAATATTATAAATGAGAAAGTTTGGATGGATGGATGTATGGATGTATGGATGTATGGATGTATGGATGTATGTTTGTGACAAGTGAACGCGAAAAATACTGGTCGGATTGGGCTGAAATTTGGCATGATGATAGCTCACATTCCCGATTAACATATAGGCATATTCTTATTTCAAAAATCCTTTCGGGCTCCGCCCCAGTGGCTCTGGAGTTTCCCATGTTAACCTTATGAGAAATGGAATTATTGAATCTTAACAGCTGTTTCAATTTTAACAAGTTGGTTCTGTTCTGTGATGTTCAATAGCATTAAAGTTACAAAAATTACCAACAGGGTGCAGCACTATTATTTCTTTTACATTTATGACAACAGCTAATTTGCAACCAAAAGGTGAGTGAGCGTAGCGAACGAACTTCAACCTGGAGGCGAGTTAGCGTAGCGAACGAGCTAACCTGAAGGCAAGTGAGCGCAGCGAACGAGCTCCAACCTAAAGGTGAGTGAGCGTAGCGAACGAGCTCCAACCTAAAGGTGAGTGAGCGTAGCGAACAAACTTCAACCAGGACATGATTGAGCCATGCGAACGAGATACAGTAATCTTGAAAATTAAGAAGTTAAACGGGGCAAAGCCCGCGGGTTACAGCTAGTAAATATATATCACCTATTAAGATATATAAAGTATATAAAAAAAAAACGTTGATTTTATAATGTCCGTGGTAATGGAAATTAACAGAAACCAAAAACCATATTCGAATTCGCAAAAACAAACTGGAAGTTGATTTAGATTCTTTGAACACTTTTAAATATACTTACAAGTTGACCCTATTTATTTTACCAAAAGTTTTGGCCTGGAATTTTTTGATTTTGAACCTGAACTACTCAGAACTATCATCCTTATAGTTATTTATAAGGATTGCTAGACACCCTAAATTGCTCTCGAGGGAGAATTGTACATGAATTTTGATGAGCGGGGATTTCGTATGTTTTCAATAAAGCTCCCGGATTGGCTATAACCACAGCCACCTCTAATACAAGGCCGCGACGTTCGAACTGGCAACGCCGCAATCACACCCCCTCTGCGTCCGTCTTCACACGCGCTAGGCCATGAACATCAATGAGAGTATTGCTGCTCTGTATCATTGAATGAAAGTATTTAAATACGTAATAACATATTTTAGTATATTTTAAGGTATGGTAAAATAGACAAAATTGTAATCTAGGTTGTTTATTTAGTGATAAATTGCAACATACCGCAATATGTCTAAAACTAAAAATATACAAACATAATGTTTTTGGTTGCATTTACCGTATTGTAAGTAAGATGAATGTGGAAATATAGATGAACTTTAAATATTTCCTTTGTTAATTTGATAATCTACACTATTATATAACAATCTCATGGTGTCTGTATATATGTGTATTATTAAACATAGTAAAAACTAATAGACAGACTGTGCTTAAATTTTACAAAATAAAGCTACTATACCAAAAATGGTTATACAGTAGGACTAACTTATTGCCACTTCAATATTTGTAGAGACTTTGGGATTTGTAGAGACTAACATCTAACAATTCGTTCAAATAAAATTAATTTTAAATTTTTAATAGGAATATTATGTTTTAGTCTACCTGAGGAAACCATAAGTTAGCGACAACAAAATTTGAAGTTTTCATTTTGAAGGCATACTGACTAAATAATTTATTTTCTTTGAATAATTACTAAGAAAAACGTTTGCCATATTGTAAACGATTTCAGAAGCTAGGCCTCCATATGGCTTTCCACACTATTAATAGAATTTTTTATCACATCAACATTCAGACTGGATTCGGAGACTATGATGCTTTTATTGTTATATGGTGCAGTAGGTTACATATTTTTTTACTAGTAGGCCTACTTAACAGAAACACCGGCTTATTTCTTTGAAGTGGCATTTATTTAAGTTATTTTAATCACTTAACAACAGCATTTATCAATAAGATAGACAAATAAATAAGGAAAAAGTACGGTATTACTACCTAAAACTTGCTTCTCGCGTCTATATTTACACGAATCATTGTCTTATTCTTACATTTTTTAACAAATTTAATCTAAGCTCATATTCGTGAAAAATGTTTCACACAAAAACGAGAATATTTTTAAGATGTCTAATTTGATCGAAGAATATCAGAAAGCAATTGTTGCTTACGCGGTGGATCAAATAGAATCTTAGAACACTGTATGTATTATTCATTTTTAATTGAGCTATCGTAATTATTCTTGCATCCAGGCACATCACATCTATCTGGCATGCTGTAGTAAGAAGTTTAACGTCATTACTAATGATTAAAGGTAGTAGAAACGCGATTATGTACGTAGAGTACGCGACTCCTCCATTCACTGTAATGGTAAAACGACCAAACGCCAAGACACTGATGCGACGTTGCCGCTTTTCACTCGCCGTGGCCTTGTATTAGAGGTGGCTGTGCTATAACTCATCACGCCACTATTCCCTCCATGCATCAACCGCTGATCCAAAAGTTTATTTGTTCTCCAATTCTCAAGATTCCATTAAACCGTAACCATCTAGTCGGCCGGGTTTTATTTCACTCCAAAATGGTGTTGTTATTTTAATATTACACCCCAAACGTTCCAGGTACAAAAAAAACTTTAAAATGCCAGCTTTAAAATTAGCCATAGTTGAGTATTCTACGTTCCTTGGTAATACGTATATTAAGCTGTAGATTTGATCCAATCATTTTTGGACATCGTGTACATATGTATACAGGATGTCCATAAAAAACGTTTCAGGACTTTGGGAAATGAATCCTCATACTAAAAGGAAGAAAAAAGTTTATGTGAAGGTACGTCCAAAAATGCACATTTACCCAGTTATCCGCCATTTTGTTTTTTATACAAAAATATTTTTATATGTGAAGGTTTTCATTCGATGATTATCAAATTTGGTAACCATGTTAACATACGGAAGACCTCTAAAAGAAAAAAATAATAAAGTTGTTCCGATTGTAAATTTCAAAATGGCGGCCGTTTGAATTTTTCTAACATAAATAACTATCGATCACCCAGAACAGAACTATCAGGAAGTCTGGGACAATACTGTACCATCTTCCAGGCAGAAATCTATGGCATCTTGGCTTGTGCCAACCTAGGACTAGCCAGACGGTACCAAGACAAAAGGATAGTGATTTTATCTGATTGTCAGGCTGCTCTCAAAGCTCTTGACTCAAATGAAGTCACTTCAAAACTGGTCTGGGGAGTGTTTCAACACCCTCTGCAGACTTGCATCACAGAACTCTGTAACTCTCGGCTGGGTCCCAGGCCATGTAGGCATTGGCGGCAACGAGAGTGCAGACAAGTTGGCAAAAAAAGTTGCGAGCATTCCACTCTTTGGACCAGAGCCATTTTGTGGCATTAGCAAAGCGGCCGCTAAACATGTAATCAACAAATGGTCCAGGGGACAACACCTTGAGCGTTGGCGTAATTATCCTGGACAATCACTTGGCAAAAAACTGCTCTCAGAACCTAGCACCCTCTTCACTTGCTGGCTGCTAAAGCTGGGGAGAGGGCAGGTCAAGCAGGTACTTGCTCTTATCACTGGACACGGCCATTTTAGGAAACATCTCCACACTCCAGGAATTGTCAATGACAAGCAGGAGTGTCGACTTTGTAACCAGTCCGATGAGACTGCAAAACACATTATTTTGGACTGCGATGGACTACGGGCTAGGAGAAGGGCTCTGTTTGGTCTAAAGCAGCCAGGTGAGGAACCAGACGCTAACATTGGGCAAAAGCTCCTGCACCTAGTTAGGGACACAGGCATAGGCTTACCCAGTTAGTGGCAAGTGGGATGCACAATAAGCTTCGGTTGACGTGCTTGGACCATGAGTCCACCCTCTTACAATCAATCAATCAACTTAAATAACTCAAAAACGGCTAATTCTATGAAAAAATGCCAAGAATACTTTTTTTTATCATTTTCAATTCCCTAGATCAAACAATACCGAGATCAAAAAGATCGGACAGAAGATAACTGAAATATAACGTTTTTGGGGTCAAAATAAGGCAAAATTAAGGGTTCCCCGACTAACTTTGCCTTATTTTTACACAAAAAACGTTATATTTCAGTTACCTTTTGTCCGATCTTTTTGATCTTGGTATCGTTTGATAGGGAATTGAAAATGCTCAAAAAAAGTATTCTTGGCATTTTTTCATAGAATTAGCCGTTTTTGAGTTATTTAAGTTGGAAAAATTCAAACGGCCGCCATTTTGGAATTTACAATCGGAACAACTTTATTATTTTTTTCTTTTAGAGGTCTTCTGTATGTTAACATGGTTACCAAATTTCATAATCATCGAATGAAAGCCTTCACAGATAAAAATGTTTTTGGGTAAAAAATAAAATGGCGGATAACTGGGTAAATATGCATTTTCGGACATACCTTCACATAAACTTTTTTCTTCCTTTTAGTATGAGGATTCATTTCCCAAAGTCCTGAAACGTTTTTTATTGACACCCTGTATATACAGGGTGTTTGTGAACTCTCTCGAAAAAATTCACAGGATTATTCCTTGGGTTAATACTTGCATATTTTACATTATAAACATGGGTCGCCGGAGCCTTGTTTTCCGTCTGTCTGTCTGTATGTGTTTTTTATAAATAACCTTATAACTCGAGTTTGAATCGAGGAACAAACTTTAAATTTGACACACTTGTGTATTTTAACGTGGTACAAAAACATGCAAAATTTCATTTCGTTGACTATAGCCGT